GAGTCATTCAGTGGAAGGAAACTGGCTCCCTCAATGTCCACTTGAAAGGCCATCTGCCAAGCACCCAATCAGATTGTGATGAGACAAAGCCATGCAGGAAAGAAAGCAAAACTGCTGGATGCACTGACGGAAGAGCAAGCATTCCAATCCACCATCACCTGGCAATCCAATGCCGTTTGCTGTCATTGCCAAGTATCTTCCATGCCTGGGAAATTAGAAGATGCGACCTTGAAGATGGGAGTGATGCAACCACAAGCCAAGGAATGCCACCAACCAACAGAAACTGAAAGAAGCTTATTACTTAGAAGGAATGTATTTACTATATCAGCTCTTATTTAAGTGTTTTCTCCCTTTTGATAATAGTTTCTTTTCTCTTCCTATTGGAGCTCTGGTAGCATAGTGGCTAAAGCACTAGACTGCTAATCAGAAGGCTGGCGGTTCAAACCCACCAGCCACTCCTCGGAAGGAAGGTTGGGCAATCCTACTTCCGTAGTGATACTGCCTTGGAAACCCAAGGAGGGGTTGCTATGAGTCGGGGCCGACTTGATGGCACATAACAACAACATTGTCATAATTGTCAGTTTAATTCATTTGAAAATTAAACATTTACCAAAAAAAAAAAAAGAAGAAGAAGCAGCTGGCAAACTGCAACTGAAGGAACTCAAGTTCCTGAGCCCTGGAGGTTATATACTCTAGGACTCTCCTAGCGTATACTCGGTATATGCTTTTGTTGTTGTTGTTATGCGCCGTCGAGGTCGAGTCAAACCCGACTCATAGCGACCCCTCCTTGGATTTCCGAGGCAGTATCACTACGGAAGTAGGATTGCCCAACCTTCCTTCCAAGGAGTGGCTGGTGGGTTTGAACCGCCAGCCGTCTGGTTAGCAGGCAAGTGTTTTAGCCACTATGCTACCAGAGCTCCCGGTATATGCTTTAAGGGACAGGAAATCCACCATCTCAGGGCAATCTTCACCTCTAGGATTCCATCTAACTAAAGGAGTGGATTTGATTTCTTGACTGCTGCTTCTGTGGGCAGTGATTGTGGATCCAAGTAAAACGAAATCCTTGACAACTTGAATCTTCTCCGTTTATCATGATGTTGCTTCTTGGTCCATTTGTGAGGATTTTCGTTTTCTTTATGTTAAGGTGTAATCCATAGTGAAGACTGCAGTCTTTGATGTTCATCAGTAAGTGCTTCCAGTCCTCTTCACTTTCAGCAAGCAAGGTTTTGTCACCTGTATATCACAGATTGTTAATGAATCTTCCTCCAAGCCTGATGTTGCATTTCTCTTTGTGTAGTCCAAGTTTTGGATTATTTGCTCAGCATCTAAAGTGAGTAAGTATGGTGAAAGGATACAACCCTGACACACTTTTCCTGATTTAAAACTGCAATATCTTCTTGTTCTGTTTCAAGCACTGTTTCTTGATCTGTGTACAGGTTCCTCATGAGCACAATTAAGTGTTCTGGAATTCTCAGTCTTTGCAATATTATCCATAATTATTTATGATCCACACAGTTGAATACCTTTGCATAGTCAATAAAACACAGATAAACATCTTTCTGGTATTCTCTACTTTAAGCCAAGATCCATCTGGCTGACATCAGCAATGATATCCTTCATTCCACATTTTCTTCTGAATATGGCTTGAATTTCTGGCATTTCACTGTCGGCAACTGTTTCAAATTATTTTCAGCATAATTTTATTTGCATGTGATATTACTGTAAAGATATTGCTAATTTCCTCATTTTGTTTGCACCTGACCTAAGGCATGGTATGTTCACCTGACCTAAGCCTCATATGCATGTGAAAGCTGGACAATGAATATGGAAGACCAAAGAATTTATGCATTTGAGTTGTGTTTGTGAAGAATACTGAATATATCATGGACTACCAGAAGAATGAATACATCTGTCTTGGAAGAAGTACAGCCAGAATGCTTCTTGGAAGCAAGGGTGGTGAGACTTCGTTTCACTTTGGACAGGTTCAAGAGGGACCAGTGCCCGGAAAAGGACATCATGCTTGGTAAAAGAGAAGGTTAACTAAAAAGAAAGACTCTCAAGGAGAGGAAATGATACAATATCAGTAACAATGAGCTCAAACATAGTAACAATTGTGAGGATGACTCAGGACCTGGCAGTGTTTGTTTCTGTTGTATGTATAGTCACTATGAGTCAAAACTCCAGCCAGGGCACCTGACAACAAGGACAAAGGGAGTTGGGGGTGGAGGCTCAGCATATAATACTAGATGAGCTCTTGAAGTCCAGTGCGGGCACAGACACTTTTTGTTTTTTGCTTAATCTTGTATTTTAGAACTTTACAATCATAAAAAAGTAAAGAGAATATTATGACAATGAAACCCTGGGTACCCACCACCAAATTTTAACAATTAACAAATTACTAATATTTTTTTTATCATCTGTTATCCCCCATACTTGTTCCTCATCTCCTGACCTTGATTGTTTTAAAGGAAACCCTGTTGTTGTTATGTGCTGTTGAGTCAGACCCGACCCTTCCTTGGGTTTCCGAGGTGTTATCACTACAGAAGTAGATTGCCCAACCTTCCTTCTGAGGAGTGGCTGGTGGGTTTGAACCACCAGCCTTCTGGTTAGCAGTCAAGTGCCTTAG